CTAAAATCTCTGCCCTCAATCTATATCCACTCTATCTCAATCAATTTCTAAAATCTCTGCCCTCAATCTATATCCACTCTATCTCATTTAAAATATTCATATTATTTAATAAATAGTTAAATATGATTAATATTTAATCCAACCCTTATTCAATGAGCATTAAATAGTGTTATTACCAAAAGTTAATAATTACAGTTAGTAAATTACCAACAATTAATAAATAATGTTATTAATTAACTCATCATGACTTTTTAAAGTATTCTGGGGAAATATTGTTATATTCATATTAATTAACAACATTTTGTAGAGATTGAAAACTATGTAACTAATTCCTATAAAATTGAGAATTATATTTAACAATTACCAAAAAGTATAAAATTTTAGTTATTACTATTATTGTAGTTAATAACCGAATACAGATGGGGGGATAAAATATTATAATGTTCGAAAATGAAATTATTAATTAATTTATATTGGAAAATAAAATATAAACTATTGTAATTTTGTTAGTAAAATTTCCATAATTACACAAATGTAATAAATTTTTCAAAAGTTTTCATAAAACTACATTTTCATAAAATAACATTTTGGAAATTAAAAGATATTAATTTTTTAAAGTTTATTTAAAATGTATTAAATGATTATTGAAAATTATTGGAATCTTTTAGAAATTTTAGGAAAATTTATTACTTTTAATATATTTCCGAAAACTATTGAAAAATTATGTAATTTTCATTGTAAATTATTAAAGATAAATGAGTATGAGAAAGGGAAAACTGTAATTTGAACCAATAATTACTCAAATTATTAAGATAAATTAGTATAATATTGGAAAAAGGAAATTATAGATTAGTTTATATTAGAAAATAAAAGATAAAATAGTGTAATTCTATAAGTAAACCATTTAAAAAGAAAATAAATTATTTAATAACAATTTAAAAATAAATTTCAATAAATTTTCAAAATTACACAAATGTAATAAATTTTCCAAAATTTTAATAAAATTACATTTTTGAAAATTAAAGAAAATTTGTGTACTTTTAGAAATTTACCATGGTGTTGATATACATAGTATATCGTTTTGATAATTTTTGTCATCAAATTGAATATTGGGTTGACGGGGAGTGGCTGACTTGCCTTGAACGTACCTAACACTAGGGACGGGACAGGGAAAATTCTAGGATTCTTCATCCTTGATGAGGAGTGGGTGCCTTCCCCTGAACCCACCTAATTATTAGTAAAATTAATAAAAATGTTAGCTTCTATAATTATTTCTATTTATTTAAAGTCAACAAACATTTCTTTTAAAAATAATGAAAATTATAACAAGTATTAAAATTACTACAAATGATTAATAAAATTAATAATTATTAATTTAAATATTTGTTCATATTAAATTAACAATAATTATTTTTTGTAAATCAACATTAAATGAAAAATTAAATTATTAAAAATTTAAATATTAACAATAGCTTTGAATACTTTTAGTTAATTAACAAAAAATTTCGATTATTAATTTATAATAAATAAAATTATTCAATCTTTCAGATTTTCACGTACACCGCATAGGTCCTTGCTAGTATCCTAATACAACCATATATGAATACTTTGAACCTCGCTCGTCGTATTGTTTTATTTTATTTTCAGAATTTTAGAACATGCCCCTTTTGATGTTAATTTATTACTTAACCATTAAAATTAAAACAACACATTTACTTTGAACCTTGACCAGTCCTATTCACTTCCTTTATCACATTGTATTTCTAAATTATTCGAAGGTAATATGAGAACACCACCAACAATCATCTTGTTGATGTTGTTGCTATTATGTGGTGTATTTGAAAAAGGGAAATTGTCTAAAACTCACCATGAGTTTCAACATTTCTCTTAAACTCACCACAACTTTTCAAAATGTCTAAAACTCACCATGTCAGTAAATTTTTATTTCCAAAACTCACCTTCCGTTAGTGCACCGTTAATGCTTCTTAACAGAGGTGTCCAGGTCAGTATAAATAACAATTTTCATGGCCAAATTACCCTTGAATGGTGAGTTAGAGGAAAATTGGTCTTTTTCAATTTTCAATTTTCTTATTTTTTTTGCATTTTTAGTGTTTTGTTATAATTTCCAATGTTTTTTATAATTTCTGTTTTTTTTTTTACATTTTTCTATTTTCTACAATCTATAAATTTTCTTGTATTTTTTTTGTTATTTATTTGCAATTTATGTGTTTTTCTAAAATTTTTGTTGTTTTTTCTACAATTTTTATTTTCTGATTTTGTTTCTCAATTTCTATAGTTTCTATAATTTGAAAATAATTTTTTAGTTTGTTTGCAATATCTATAATTTTTTATATTTTTTGTAATTTCTATGTTTTTATGTATTTTATATTTTAAAATATTTTTTTGAACTTTTTCTCATGTCTAAATATCAAAATGATAATATATTAACACCCATTAATTTATTTTGTATATATTTTATGTTTTTTATGAAGGTTAAAATGGTAATATTTTAACACCCGTTAGTCTGTTTAACATTAAGTTAGTGATATGTTGAGTTTTAAACATTACAACTGAAAATTCATGATGAATTTTAGATAATTTACCTTTGAAAAACCCATAACAAATAGGTTTTTGAAAACTGCATCCTGTACCCTCATAGATATTTGATCTGGATCAAAGTCTACACCAACACTCTCGTCTAATTGGGTGGTAAATGTCTATATTCAGATATTCAGGCTGGTGCAAACTCAATGTCCACGTGATAGCTTGGGTCAGTTTGTAGCTGGACTCTCGTCTATTAATTAAGAACTTTCCATCAACTTTGTGTTTTTCTCTTATTTTCTGTTAAATCAAAAACAGCCTAGGTTACATTCTCCTTCAAAAAAACTATTTTTAAAGTAGATTAACACTAAGAAAAACGGTCAAAATACAACCGCTGCCTATGAGGACCGACCTGTTGCGGTTCAATCATTCCTAAAGCGGTGGTATATTAGAACCACCGGCTCAGAGTTAAGAACTCAAATTTCTTATCCACAAATTCTTCACACATTGAAAGATCTCTCTCATGGTCATTCATGGGTAGATGTTCCTAATGCACTGCGCCGTGTCATAGGAATGTGGGAAGATTCTGAGTAGAAGATATGGAGTGGAGATGCAAATGTCATAGAAGGAAACTGAATGTTCTAAGGTCAAGTTAGAAAATAGAGAGGCTGGATTGATCAACCTGCCTGGCCGGGTACAACATATTCACAAGGCTATTAAGAATTTGAGCTAAGTACAGGATATATCCAATTACAGCCTTACAGGGAGAGATGAATGACTCTATTCATGGACAATATGTACCACTTTTGCTTTCTTTGTTTACATGTTATATTTGATAAGGCCCTGTCTCTTTCTCTAGATATCGCTTCTAACTTTAGCTTGTTTATAATAATGAAATTAATTTAGGCTCAGTTTGAAAAGAGTATAAATGTAAATATGTACGGATTAAATACACAAAATATAAGATTTTACGCTCTACATATTTGCATTTGTACTCCTTCCAAACTCAGCCTTAAGGTCCACTCCTTTACGCTGGATGAAAATTTTGGTACTATTTTGAGATGTCGATCAAGTGGTCGATCAGTACTGGTCCCTTATTCCGGCTTTAGAGAACACTGGATTATTTGAGTGAGTGGATGAACCATGTGAAAACTCAGCCATTCTCACTTGACCTAAATCTATATGATCAATCAGACCGAAAGACCTTAAGTTGCTATTCACAACGACCTCTCAGTCAACAGAGTGGAGTAGGGAAAACTCAGCTGCCGACCAATTGAATTCAATTTTTGGTGCTTTTCTTACTCCTGTAAACCAACTTCAATTTGCCTTTATACATTATTTCATAATTATCCATGATTTCGTTTTTTAATTTATTTATTCCAAGTAGCTTGGTGAAGCTCATAAACGTGTTGAAAAAGGGAGCCGTGATGTCTGTTAACATCCTTCTAACCCATTATTCTACATAATGTTGTAGCCCCTCCCACTGGAGTCATATGTAATGTGTTCGTCAAAATGTGGATGTCGGAGACAAAACTTATCTCCAAGCACAAACGACAGGGATACACCCAAAACAATGTGCTTCCATGTTCCATCCCTCACCAACTTGTAGCTCATGGACGGAAACTTTTTCCGAAATTCCGTCACTACCAAACATTCAACTTGTAGCTCTGGACACAGAATACTTCTATATTATATTCTTGAAGGTGGGGAGCCAACAACCAAATACTGAAGCGAAAAGAGTCGGCACAAGAGAAATATATTTGACTATTTTCAGACTAAGCAGCACGGATTGTTGATAAAGATGATCTGTCGGAATAAGAGTTTTATAGCATTGTCAGATTTGCCACGGCCCACGGGAACCGGAGGATACTGGGCAAATCATGGCATGCCACGCCATCCTGATAATGGTCCAGCTTGGTGTATCATGACTTGCCCATTGTTACCAGTAAAGCAGTAGGATATTCTAACTCATACGCAACGGAGTAGGTGGAGGGCGATGCTTCGTTTCATACGTCAACTTGAAAATTGTCTTACCGTATGGCTTCTCTATTCCTCACATGCCTTGTAGATGCAACTCTATAAATACCGCACCTCCGTTCTCTGAAATCCTTGCATTGAATTCTCCTTCGTTTTTTTCTCAATCATTTCAGTGAATCAAGCAAGTAATCACCTTACAAAGAACGCATTCATGGCTTCTTTGCGAATGGTTACATTTGTTGGGATTTTGGTTTTTCTTATCGTGGGATGCTCCTCTGCAGCTAGGACTCTGTCCTACGGTAGTGGAGGGGGAGGTGGTGGTCAAGGAGGTGGGGGTGGTGGTGGTGAAGGCACTGGGTCTGGATATGGCTCTGGTGGTGGAAGTGGCTACGGCCATGGTGGTGGAATAGGAGTGGGAGTTGGTATAGGAATTGGTCTTGGAGGAGGTGGTGGGGGTGGCCATGGCGGAGGTGGTGGAAGAGGTCAAGGCTCAGGGAGTGGTAGTGGGTATGGTTCTGGGAGTGGCAGTGGGTCAGGTTATGGTTCAGGGGGAGCCCCAGGTGGTGGTTCATATGGGAGAGGTGGTGGAGGTGGAGGTGGAAGTGGAGGTGGGGGTGGAGGAGGCAATGGAAGTGGGAGTGGATCTGGATATGGTTCAGGGAGTGGCAGTGGATCAGGTTATGGCGCAGGGGGAAACTCAGGTGGAGGTTCTTATGGCAAAGGAGGTGGAGGTGGAGGTGGAAGTGGAGGTGGGGGTGGAGGTGGCAATGGAAGTGGAAGTGGATCAGGGTATGGGAGTGGTAGTGGCTCAGGCTATGGTGGTGGAGTAGGTGGCAGTGGTGGTGGCTCTGGTGGGGGCGGAGGTGGKGGTGGCGGCGGTGGCGGTGGTGATGGAGGTGGTGCTGGCAATGGTTCAGGGTCTGGCTATGGGTCTGGGTCTGGTTCAGGCTATGGATCTGGAGGTGGAGGTGGCCATATACCTTGAAGCAATTGGAAACGTCCCAGAAGTATGGACTAATTAACAAATCTTGAATCAATCATCTCTTCTCTCTCTCTCCCTCTCTAGCTCTCTCTCTCTCCTCTCTGTGCTCTCGTTTAATGACTGTTGGGTGTATTTAGATGTTTGCTCTACTGTGCAACTTTGGAATAAATTCGTCAATCACCATGCCCAAGGCATAGATTGAACGATGACTTGGATGTGCAGTTCATCCATGCATGTGGTTGAGTTGTAAGTAATAAAATAAGCTATATTAAGTATTTTTTATGGTAAATAAATAAATCTCTCTCTCTCTCCAATATCTCTGAAATTAACAATAAATGACGGAAGCAGAGGATTTCTTTGAGAATTAATTTTTGCATGGTGATTAATGGCAGAATGAATGGGTATATATATCTTAGGAAACTCCTCTATGACAAAGAATGTTAATTAGCACAAAGTAGATTGAAAACTTGTGATAATTAATTTCTTTCGCTTCGCTAG